AGTCATGCACGTAACGATTACAACACTTAGAATGATCGCGTCGTCATTAAACAAATAAAGAGGTCTCGATGAACCAATTCCTCTAGTTCAATAGGGACATATGAATCGAAGGGATCGTACTGTACGCTAACTATATCAAAAGGTTCTTGCAGGCACTTCACTTGTATCTAGGGAATCATGACGCATAGTTGCTAGATGCCAATCTTGATTGGTTGGGTGATTAAGGTGAAACGAGCTTCATCTTAATCGTAACTCTAAGGGACGAGTTTTGACCACAAAGGGTTGTGGGCCCACGGCTAGCTTACACCTGAACCATCGAGGGTCACACTGCTCGTGCACATGAGATCTTTGAATGAACGGTCAAACGTAAAAATGGTTTATCTTTGCATGATTGGAAGTCAATATGATTGGGTCCAACATTCGTAATTTGGAATTATGAATGAGAAAAGGAAAAGACTAGGCGAACATCTTAGTGGACTTTCTAAATCGGGAAGTTTCCAAATTTAGAAAGTGCACTGAATTAGGGTTTCCACTTTTGGAAAGTTGGAAATTGAGAATTGGCACTCGTAATGACGAGGTCATTATAATGATTCTGAAATATAATTGTTACAATTTTTTGATCATCGAATTGAGAGTGACGAGCGAGTAAAAGAAGTAACGAACTTAAGCTGGTGGGCCCGGTCCAACTTAAGCCCGTTAGGGTTTTATGCAAGACACTATAAATACTTGATTTATAAATCTTGCACAGACACAACACAAAAAACCTAACCCTAGCCGCTCCCTCTCTCGGCCGTTCTCCTTCCCCGCGGCCAACACCGTCGTTCGGTCGCCGTTCGTTCGCTGGAATCGGCCTCTCCTTGACCGGTTAATTGTGGTAGATCTATTTCCTTTTATTCTAACTATTGCATGTCTAGTGCCACATTTTAGTAGATCAAAGTATACGAGGTGAAATCCGAGAGGAGAAAGATCGAAGAATCGAAGAATCGAGGAGCAGCCACCGAGCCGACGGCGCACGCGCCTCCACGCGCCGCCCGAAGACAGCGCGTGAACCACATGCGCCGCCGTAGCTTGGATCATCATCGTTGCTGCCCCGGATTGCACGGATTGGTTTCCGTGGCAATCTAGCTTTCCCTAGTGCGCCTACCTCACGCTTCAAGAGGTAAAGTTTCGAATCCATTGTCGTTCGATTCGTTTTCGTTTAAGTTGATATATGCATGTTCGTTTTACTAAAAAGCATGTATGATTTTATGTGTCTAAATGAAATTGTTTTTATTATTGCGAGCATCATTACTTGATTTAAACGCGAGCATGCTAATTGATTTAATTTCGGTTAAGTAATTAAGCATGAATGTTGTTTTTAATTTTGCTGGAAGCGCAAAGGTACGCAATTAATTGTTTTCAATTATCGGGCATGTGTTTATGTGTTTTAAATTTGTTTAAATCGCATAATTTTTTTGTTTTCCGCTGTGTACTGGTGTCCGATTCCCAACACGCCCTTCTGAGGCAAAAGCAACTCGATATTCCTTGGCCCTCCGACTAACCGACGAATAGACCGCAAATGCTCTTCTGTCAATGAAGTATCAACATCAACTAAATCAAGATTAATTGACTTAGTCTTATTTTGCCTCCTCGTATCCATCTCAACATCACCAAGCGGAATATTATCTTCCTCTTATACTTCAACCATCGGGTCAATTTCACTGCACGCTCACTCGACGAATGCGATTGATTTGACTCATCACTATCGCTTCCAAAATCCACGACTTGACGTCGTTAACGATGCCTACTAGATTAAACCCCATCCGCATGCTCAAAAACATTAACACTAGGTCTTACATCGTCGCTCCAAGATTCAATGGTTTCTTGCCATCCGAAATCCCCCCCATTCAAAACACCAACTGCACCGAAACTCTCAACGGCTTGCCCATCACTCTCGCCCGACCGGACCGAAAACCGTTTATGGACATGCCCTCACGCGCGCGCGTACCCCCAAGAGGTGCACCTTCACGCGCGCACACCTCCCCAAGTGACGCAGGCCCATGCGCTCCCAACCCCCTTACCAACACGCTCACACGCGCCCCAGGATCGGGCAACGCGCGCGCATCACCCTTGGACTGCGCAACAGACGCACGCGCGAGTCGCGCGGGAATGGCGCCATCCACTCGTCGGTCGCCAACCACGCGCGCACGTCTCTCGTTCTCCGTGCCCGACGCGCGCGCGCTCGTCTCTCGGTCCTAGTGCCCGACGCGCCTGACATCTCCTCTCTCCTCTCCTCGGTCAAAGTGCAAGCCGGTGACTCCACAGCTCCGCTCGGCTTAAAACTCCCCTCGAGGCGCGCGCCCTCACATAGGCTGTGGCGAGCGGTTGCGTGGCTCAAGCCGACGACCCCAGCCGAGCCACCAACTACCTTCCCTTCCCCCTCAATCCGTGCACCAACCACCGCGGACCCGATTTCCGCACCCAATACTACAAGCTTCTCGCGTTCCAAACCCACAATCCCAAATGGGATCTCGCTCCCTTTAACCGGATCTCGTATTTTAATTCGCAAGATTTCGATTTACTCGGATTCGACATGAAAATTTTCTCTTCCCGAAGAAATACTCAAACAAAGGAAAAACTTCTACTCTACCACAAAAATACAAGGAAGAATAAAGAGAAAAACTCAAAAATTAAAAATACTTACCCATACTTATTCCACAGGAGGAGGAATTTAATTATCTCCACCGCAAAAGGATTCTATTTTGTATATTATTTAAAACCCTTAAATATATCACTATGCCAAAATGCATTCCAGGCGACGAAAATTTGCGACAAAAAAAGCTTATTCGCGACGAAAAAAAGAATTTTGCGACGAAATAAACGCAAAAAAAGATCAAAAAATTCCCCGTCGCAAATGTCTGCGACGAAACATAAAAAGTGTCGCATGGATTGCGACATTTCCCTGGAAACGTCGCAACAACTTAATTTTTTCGTTAGCTGAAATATTGCGACGAAACCTTTTGGAATCGTCGCAAAATCAATGATAAAGTTGCGACTAAAATAAAAAGTCGCTCTTTGATGCGACGTTTATTTGTAATTAATTTTGTCGCAAAATTTAAATTAAGGTTGCGACGATTCCTCAAAATCGTCGCAATATTATATTTTTCAACCTTTTATATTATTTGATGATTTAATTTTTTTTATTGTTAAACTTGTAATTATAAACAATAATAATAAAATTAAATTACAATAAAAACATTAAACAACTCAAAATTTATATCCACCACTTTAAAATTCACATTTAAGTTAAATCATCCAAACATAAATTTAAAATATACAAAATGTTGATGTTGTAGTGTTACAAAGATAAGGTAATCCCCGTTTTCGCCTTCATCTTCATTAAAATTATTTTGCAAATGGCAGAGGGATTATGTTGCTCGGACTTATTCTCAATCTGTTGAAAACACACTAATCACATAGTTAAGGAGTTGCTAAATCAATATAGAACCCTTAAAAAAATCATGCTGAAAAATAAAACTTAATGCATTTTATATTTAGTAACTCTTGCCTTCTTTCCCGTTTCATCACGACACCACTCAGTATATCAATTTTCCTTTCTTTTTCCATGGTAGTTTCGACCGAGAACAGCTTCAACATCCTCTGTCCAAAGAAGAAAACTTATATAATGAGCATAAAAAGGCCGATATAATTAATCTACATACATTTAAACTATGTAATGTTCATATAATGAATCTTTTTATTGCTCATCAATGGGAAACATAAGGATATTTTTTCAAGAAACTTATAAGTAGTAACATTATTGCCAATAATGAAATCTAAACAGTTAAACATGCATATATCTCATGTATATATACATTGCTATAGCATATATGCATAAATATTTTTTCAAGAAAAAAACAATAAATGCATAAATGTATATATATTTAATTGCCGGAGAATTGCAATTCCGCAATAATAAAAAAAATCATGAAGATTGTTGCATACACTATCTATAAAAATTACTATCTAAATCATTAAGAGATAAAATACACCAATAGTTGTTTTATTTTGGAACCCTCCCAAGATTAGTTGTGGTGATCATCTAGTGAACAATAAGAATTAAGAATACAGAAAACCACCAATTTCAGAAAACAAACAAGTCAAGAGGAGCCTTTTGATCACCGTTTTTTGATCACTCAATGTTGCTTCTTAAGAATTCATCTTGAAATGCAGCTAAATGTTTGTATTCTGAACATTTTCTCAAACAAAATTTACTTTAACATGATGTCAAGTGCAAGTGTGGAAATTGCACATTATAGTGGAGAATAATATTTGTAAGGGTGGATATTCTATTGGGAAGATAGTTTGTTAAACATACTAAACTGAAACGACTATACCAATATGTACATCTTCAAAGAGCAACCATATAATAGAAGCAAGAAACAAGAGTATACCTTCCTGCCAAATAAATACAATTACCCCTTCTTTAATTAATTATGCATTAATTCTACGCCAATGGAAACCAATCAAGCCGTGGCACATTTAACTCTCGACAAGATCCGAAACCCTTTCGACAAGTCTCCCATCTCGACTCGAGAGTTGGGGGGCTTAATGATATACCTTACTAGGCTGACCCAATGGGACCCCAATTTATCTAATTTTTTTGGCCCGGTACATGAAAGCCCAAACACCTTCAAAATAAGGCTTGGGCCCAACAAAGTAAACACAACCCAATCAACGACATATAAATAGATATTTTTACTCATTTGTTAAGGTACGTTCTATTATTCACAAGTATTCTAGAGCACATATTCTCTTTACCATCTCCACGTTCCTTACATCTGACTTGAGCGTCGGAAGGATTTCCGCCGGATCAACCCTGACTTAGTTCACGTGTGTTCATTTCGCAGGGACCTCAGAACTATCAAATTGGCAAGCTACTGATCCGCTTTGCTCTCCTAGCTCGTTTGCCACACTACCCTATGTGATCTAAGTAATTAGCATTATCATAGCTGAAAAAGATGAAAGGAACTAAAATAACGCTGATTCGTAGAGCAATTACTACTGCATCTTCTCACCATTACGGTATTTTCGATGATCCCTTTTCTTTATTTTGTTCAAATTTTCACAGTGTGGGTCCCAAAGATCGATCCTTTTCACGTAAACGCAGAATAGATTTGAGTTGTATAAATGAAGTAGATGATGTTGTTTTCTTATTTCGTCAAATGGCAAGAATGCAGCCACAACCATCCGTTATCGAATTCACCAAACTATTGCAAGTTGTTGTCGAGATGAAACATTACTCCGGCGCCCTTAAACTGTTCGACGAAATGCGTCAATGGGCTGCCCGTATCAATGAGTACACGATGACCATCTTGATTAATTGTTGTTGCCTCTTCAAACATGTAGACATTGGTTTTGCTATCTTTGGCTGCTTCTTTAAACGCTGCCACGAGCCAAACGTTACGACGTTCAACACCCTCTTAAAAGAGCTCTTTTTAGATGGTAATGTAGCTGAGGCAGAGAAATTGTTCAAGAAGATTTTTACTTTCAAACTTTGTGAGCCAAACGATGTTACGATTCTTACCGTGGTAGATGGGCTCTGCAAAACAGGACATGTTCTTGCTGCCAATGATTTGCTTTGGTTATTGGAAAAGACTATCTATAAACCCAATGTTAAGGCTTATAACGCGGTAATTGACGGCTTATGCAAGACCGGAACGGTGGATAATGCTCTCCAGCTCAAGTCTAGAAAGATCGACAAGGGAATTTCACCGACTATTGTAACATATAACTCGATGATTCAGGGCTTGTGCGATTTCTGTAGATGGAAAGAGGTCAAAGACTTATTGAACGAAGTGGTCGATCACGAGATTTGTTTAACTGTTGTTACTTTTAGTGTATTGGTGGACGCGTTTTGCAAGGAAGGAAATGTTAAAGAAGCCGAAGATATTTTGGAAATCATGAAGCAGCAAAATATTTGTCCTAATATCGTCACTTACAATTCGTTGATAAATGGGTACTGTTTGCAAGGGAAAATGGACGACGCAAAACATAGCGGGCGAGGGGATTAAACCATCTATTATGAGCTACGACACTTTAATAAACAGATATTGCAAGAAGGGAGAGTGGATGAAGCTTGGCGTCTTTTCTCGAAGTTTCTTCAAAAGGCTTAGAATACACAACAATTACTTATAACACCATGATACATGGATTATTTAGTGAAGGCAGAATTGCTGATGGATGGGAACTTTTCAACGATATGGAAGCTCGGAAAGTACGTCCCGATTTATTTACTTACAATATTGTAATGAAATACTTGTGCAAGACTCGACAGATTTTTGAAGCGTTTTCGTTTCTAAGGACGATGGAAGAGAGAGGAGTAATTCCTTGTATAGTTACATATAGTATCCTCATTAATGGTTTGTGCAAAGATGGGAAACATGAAGACGCAAAAAATCTTTTAAACGAACTTCTTTCCAAAGGGTTGAAACATGATAATCACATATATGCTGTCATTATTCGTACACTTTGTGAAGAAGGATTTTTAGAGGAGGCAAAAGATGCGCTTATAAAAGTGGAGAGAAGTGGTTGCGCACCGAATAGCGTGACATACAACGTCATTATTCGTTGCTAGTTGAAGAAGAAAGAACTTGAGAAGGCAATGTCATTCTTAGAGGAAATGCGCAAAAGGGGATTCTCAGCCGATGCAGCTACATCGTCCATGTTGATTAATCACATGAAAGTATATAACAAAGAAAGGTGTTCTTCTGCTGGAAATGATTAAGAAAGTTCTACAAAAAATATAAATTATTTATTGGGTAAATTACAACCACCCCTGAGGTATGGTCAAATTATGAAAAAACCCCTTCTGTTTGGGTAATTACAACCACCCCTCAACTATAAATCTTCTTACACATCCACCCTTGCGGTGTCAAATTTAGTGAAATCTTTTTATTTTGAATTGGATTTGTGTATGAAAATATAATGTGTTATTTGGTAAATTTGCTGATCACATTTTAAAAAAAATGATAAATACATACAAATTTTCAAAAGAATAAATGGCACATGATTCGACTTTTAATCCTAATCAAATAAATTATATTTTATGCCCTTATTAAATGAAAACATAATTCAGTAAAAACATGTTTGTATTTTAAATTCTAGTTATAAATAATAATTCTAATTTTAAAAAAATATTCAGAGAAAATTAATAATTCAATTTTTTTTAGGATTATTAGCATTATAATTATGATTAGAATCAAGCTTACCATTACAGTTAGGAATAGAATAAGGATTATGATAACATTAAGATTAGAATTAGCATTATAATTGGTATTATCATTAAAATTAGCATATTAGGATTAACATTAGCATTAATATTAGTATTATTAGGATCAATATATTAGAATCAATATATTAGCATTAGCATATCAAAACATTAGAATTAGTAATAATATTAATATTAGCATGAATATTACTATTAGTATTAGTATTAGTGTTATTTTAGTATTGTATTAGTATTAGTATTACTATTCGTATTAGTATTTATATTCGTAATTGTATTCGTATTTATATTAGTATTAGTATTAGTATTAGTATCGGTATCGTTATCGGTATCAGTATTACTATTAGTATTCGTATTAGCATTAGCATTAGTATCCGTATAAGTATCAGTATCACTAATAGTATTAGTATCAGTATTAGGCCCTGTTTGGTTGGCAAGATAAGATTAAATAATCTAATAAGGCCCACTTATTTGATTAAAGCTTGAAACATCCAAAAAACAAACTCATTAGAAGCCAAGATAAGCTAAGATAATCCATGATTATATAATTTGGTGGGTCGACCTGCAGTTTATTGACGATACCAAACATCAAATTATGTCCAACTATTTAGTTAATCATGTCTTATCTTGGCAACCAAACAGAGCCTTAGAATATTAGTATGAGTATGAGTATGAGTATGAGTATCAGGCAATGCTCTAAAAACCGGAAATCGGGTCGGACGCGGTTAAACACCCCCTCATGATTAATCGGGGCGGCGGTTATTAATCGGCGATAAATCTGAAATAAATCAGTTTTTAAAATTTAATACAATATATTTCTAGATAGTATTTATAAATACTCAAAACATATATAAAAAAACATTTAAACAGGTTATACTCCATCATTTATATATCCTAAAAACATAATAAAATTTTAATAATAATTAGTTCATAATACAATAAAATCCTTATAAAATACAAATAAAACGCAAATCTTTTGAATTTAAATTTATTCTTGAACATTGAAAGTATATATCATTAGGTTCTTTAACAATAACATTTAACATAAAAAAAATAAAGTATAAACTCATTTTTTTATTAAAAGCCCAACTTTTAGTTTGAATTAAAAAAGAAAAAAAAAACGATTTTTGACCTATTTTTTTCCACCAAAGCCCGCCTCTAATGTTTGACCGACCCAAGGCCCTCAACCCGACTAAAACCACCTCATAGGTCAGAATCCGTTTTTTCAAACATTTTCACCAAAATCGTAAAGGTTTGGGACTGACTCCGCCTCGGAGACCGATTAATCGGCCGCCTCGAATGAGATTTAGAACACAAGTATGAGTATTAGTATTAACATTAGTATTAGTATTAGTTTAGTGATATATAGGGCATTCTTTCTTTCGTGTTCAACACATCGTTCTGTCACGGTAGTGGCGTATACGTCTACATCACGGATTGGACGCCGTTAATAACATTTCAGTATTATTCACGAGTTTTGCTTTTCGCGCTTCTTCTTTTTAATATTTGATTGCATTTCATATGTTACGACTCTGGATTAATAGGTAAAGTTTATCTTTGTTTGATTTCTTTTTATTTTTTTTATTCGAATTAGATTTGTTACAAACCGATAGTCACTTACATGATATTTGTTATTTTTTTTTTCATTTTGAAACTGATCTTCGTACAACGCACGGGTGAAGTACTAGTTGTAATCAGAGCCATATTAATGGTTTCATTGGATGCCGAAGAGTGGACGGATACGGTACGGGAGGCAGTGGCAGGGCCAATGTGCAAAGCTCGATGCAAATTCCAGACGGTAAGAGATGATGGAATTAACTTGGCGGCGAATATATGCAAGCCCCATTTTTTCTTTGTTCAAACCAAGGTTGTAAAAAGCTGTAATCGGGTCAGAGGCGGTCAGGCACCGACTCCCGATTAATTGGTGCAGCGGTGATTAATCGGTAATAAATCGAAAATATATAGATTTTTAAATTTTAATATAATAAATATCTAGGTATTATTTATAAATACTCAAAATATATATAAAAAGATAATTAAACATAGTTATATCTCCATCATGTATATATATCCTAATAACATAATAAAAGTTTAATAATAATAAGATCATAATACATAAATATCCTTATAAATTATAAATAAAAATGCAATATTTTTTTTAATTTACATTCATTCTTGAACATTTCTGGCATACATCATTAGTTCTTTAACAATAACGGTTAACGTAAACAAAATAAAGCATAAACTCGTTTTTTTTTGTTTTTTTGTTCGGCCAAAAGATTGTATTATTCCATTTAAGATAGGCAAGAGGGGGCCTCGTTAAAACCTTGTGGGCCTAACACAAGGAAAAATAGTATCCCTACAATGGAAATAAAAAATCAGCGTCTAAGGTAACTAGACTATTACAAATGTGACCCAAAATGGGGGTATAAAATGCCAATATTAAAGTATGTAATGCGGCTATTCTTAACCACCCCCAACTTTCTTGTACTATGCTTATTCCATCTTCCCATTCGCTACAACCAATGACTCTCTCTTCCAATATCCAAAAAGTCCACCCCCAACACAGCGTGCTCCTACCCCTCCTCCTTAGATGTAGTTCCGTGTGTCTCATTTACGAAAATTCGCAATACCGAGCTTATCACTAATGTATGCGGCCTTCACTTCTTGAGGCATACTGCTCCCGGAGAAAACCTCTTGCTCCCGGAGAAAACCTCTTGATAAGATTTATGTGTATATACCCAATTGGCTAAACGGTCTGCCACCGTATTCTCTTGGTGAAACATGTGATCTTATGATATGGTCGAAACTCTTGCATGCAAATCCGATATACGTCCAAATCCCACGCCACTCTCAGTTTCTTGATCGCGTTCACCGTTAAAAGAGAGTCTGTCTCGACTACAACTGCTCCAATCCCTAACGAATGACACAGGCGAATACCCACAGCCACCGCAAAAATTTCAGCAAAATTATCTGTACCTCTCCCAAAGAAAGCCGAAAAGCTTGCAATAATACCACCTTCTGAATTGCGAATGATACCCCCGCCCGTACACATCTCGTCTTTCGCAGACCCATCTGTATTAAGTTTGTATGTTCCAACAGCAGGAGGCTCCCATTTATGCCATAATCCATGCCTAACCATTGGTTGTGGCCCGTAAATACCTACCGCTGCCAGCTCTAGGAGTTGCGACTTCGTGGACATTTGGCGTGGTCTGTGTACGATACTCAGGTATTTTACTTTATGGAGCACACGTTGGCATATATCAGTCGCTGTCATAAAACCCCTTTGTCGTAAGTTGGGGTTTTTTATTTAAACCCCCAACTTTTAATTTGAAAAAAAAAAAACCGATTTCACCGTGTTTGACCCGCCGTAAAGGTTTGACCGCCTCAGACCGCCTCACGGGCAAAAAACCGATTTTTCAAACCTTTACACTAAAATCGTAAAGGTTTGGGACCGCCTCCCCCTCGGAGACCGATTAATCGGTCGCCTCGGCCGATTTTTAGAACACTGGTTCAAACACACGTAAAAGGGTTCCTTAGTCCAAGCCCACAAATTTACCTAATTTTCTTATAGCAAGACCAAAGAGGACGAATATGCCCTCATCCATAAATACTACCAAAATACAAACACAAACCATAAAGTGGCTCTCGTGAGTAAATATATACCATAAGAATGAAGTTATTTGTATCTTCAATGTGAAATCAAGTTTATATTTTATTCGAAATGATGTATCGAATTATATATACATTTTGATGTATAATAATATAATATTATTCTAAGACATA